TTTCTTTTTCCAGTAATAGAGATTTTATATATTTCTGACTTCTGCAGTTGAAGTCACACTTAACTCTTCATACAAATTTTAAATATTATCTGTTTAACCATCTGTCCATCTGTTCAGTACATCATTCCTTCTCTATTATACTAGTATGGCAATGCTTCTTGGTATGTACAGTTGTATTATTCATAAACTTCAGTTACCTTTCAGAGATAGGACTCTTAGCTGTCCCAAGTCTTTCCTGTCTTAGTAGACATTGGGCTCCCATGCACTTATTCATTCTATAGATCCAGGATGCCTGTTTGACTTTCCTTTCCATGGACAACAAGTTATCATTTTATTCTGATTACTCAATATCCAATGTATATCTTGAGTTAATCAATTCATTTCTCTGTTATGTCTGGTCTCACTGTGTCCATACATGTTTGTTATTCTTCACATACCTGTTGAAGTAATTTTGTGAAAACAGAAATCTGCTATTTTCCTGATATTTTTTCAGTGGCTTATTAGATTTTTATAAAATCCCTAATTCTTACTGTGGTACACAGACCTCACTTTATCCTTTTTCTCTTGTATTCTCCATCTTTGAGATGTTGTCTTGCTCATTAGCAGTGCAGTGAAGTCACTTTGGTTTTGTACATTGGGAGAGAGAGCGCTCAGGCCATCTGAATACACTGATGCCCTCTTTCCATTTGCTGACTCCCCTAGTCCTATTTATAATTAGGGTACCCCTTTAAATGAGCTCTCATCCAACAGCCTAGCCAGATCTTCTCTAGGGTTCCCACCAGAGCCTGTACTTCTGCTCTGGCATAGCATGTATTGTGACATATTGTTTTACAGTTAACTTGTCTGATTTCCATCTTCCTTACTAAACTTAATATCCTCTGGGATAATGTCAGATATTTTTTCTGCCTGATAAAATGCTTGGCAAAAATGGGTGTTACTTTAATATTTGTTAATGTATTCTGTGTAGGATAAGTTTTATTTTAAAAGCTCTTTTAGAGATAACATTCCTTTGCTTGTGTTGTATTTGGATAAACCTAGTTTTAATACTCATTGAATTAGCCATTCTGATTTCACTGTATTTGTGTATGATTTTCTTTTGAATAAAAGTGTATGTGTAGAATTTAGCTTAGCAGTCAGCCTGTAGAGTTGGTAGCTGATGGATGTATGCATGTATGTGGCATGGCTTTGTTCTTCAGCTACTGTCAATTCTTTTATACTTGTTTGAATATTTCACTAAATATTTCTTACCATTCTTATCTGCTTTACCTCAGTTAGTTAGTTTTTTTTTTTTTTTTATTTTGTTTATCTAGACAGGGTTTCTCTGTGTAACAGCCCAGGCTGGCCTTGAACTCATAGAGATCCACCTGTCTCTGCCCCTCAAGTGATGGGCATGTGTCACCACCATCTCATTTTATGTCTGTCAGTGTTTCGTCTGTTTATATGTATGTCTGCCCTGCAGCACATGTGTACCTGGTGCCCATGGAAGTCAGGAGGGATGTCTTAGATCTTCTGGAACTACTTAGAGACAGTTGTGAGGGTCTGTGTGGGTACTGGGAATTGAACCATTGCCCTCTGGAAAAACAGGAAGTTCAAGAGCAGGCAGTGCTCTTAAGCACTGAGCTATCCATCTCTGCAGCCCAAAGGGTAGTGTTTTGAGAGAGCTGTACTTCTTGTGAGTTACAGTTTATTTCTCAGATTCTAAATGTCATGTGTGCGCTGAGCTTGCACATGCGCATGAGCACATGTGTATGTCTCCATTCATTTCTCATAAAGGTGTCTGAGATAGGAGTTCATTAGTGTCAGTATCCCAGTTTTGCGGATGAGATGTTGAAGCACTGAGGCTAAAAAACTTGGCAATGATTGCTTAGGTCACAGAAAGCAGAGCCAGGTTCTGAACAGTGGGGATCTGACTCAAGTGTGAATGTTTTTTAATCACCATGCTATGCATGCCTAAATGGAAAGATGATAAGATCATAATGGAATTGTTTGTCTTGTCTAATGTTTGCATGTTTAGAATCATGGTTTCTACTCTCAAGTATTTTCCCTTGAGTTCATTAATTCATTTTACAAGTATTTAGTGAACATTCAGCGTTTGCTGAATGTACTTGTCAATACTTAGCCAGTGCTAAGGAGTAAATGCATAGATTTCTACTTCTTGAATTGATAGAAAGTGTGAAATGTTGGGTCATGGTCTGTGACAGTCTGAAGTAGATTGTCAGGTAGGCCCACCTAAGAGGATCGTTGTAGAACGTGGAGAAAGAAACTCCCAACAGAATGCATGATAAAGAATCTTGACTGGATGGCAGTGTGCCTGGAAGAGAGTACCAGGATTCTAGTAAAATTTTCCTTAAAAATAGCAGAATGAGAAGAGTAGTCCTCTAGGAAACATGGCTCTGTCCTCTCTGATGGAGTAAGCAGATAGATGTTGCCTTTGATGTCTTAACAGGAAGACTGTGTTGTACCCTTCTTCCTCTTTTCTGTTGTGAACATAGCAGTAGCTCTGCCATAATACTGTAGTGGGCATTAGCATGCCTTCATCCCATTCTTTCCCCTGGCTCATTATCAGTATTTGTTTTGACTGTGGGGGAAATGGTGTAAAGGAAGTTTCTTTGTTATGATTTCAGGAAAAAAGTGTTCAATGTTAAATGTCTTAGCTCTAGTTTTGTCTGTATTCTAAATCATTATTGTTAATTAATTGAAAAGTTTCCTTTTAGTTCTTTGTTTCATAAGACTTTGTTTATAGTGAGAAAGGTGTTAAATTTTGTCGTATATTTTCTGCCTCTTGATTACACAAATTTTTAAAAGAACAATGTGATCTATTATGGTGTTAAAAAATGTGTTTTTGATGGTGTTGAGGATTGGACCCATGTCATGCAATTGCTAGGCTAATTTTTATTTTATTTTATATATATATAAAAGTTTTGGGGGTTAAGCCAACTATGGTGGGTGAGTAAACCTTGCCCCCCCCCGCCCCCCATATATTTGAATGCTTAGTTCCAAGTTGGTGGTCTGTTGGGAAGGATTAGGAAATGTGGACTTGGAATATGTGTCCAATTGTTGGAGGAGTAGGCTTTGAAGTTTCAGTAGCACATGCTAAGCCCAGTGTCTTTTTCTGCCTGCTGCCTGTGGATTAGGATGCAATGCTCTCAGCCACTTCTCCAGCATTATGCCTGCTACCATGCTCCCCACCATAATAACAGACTAACTCTGAAACTGCAGCAAGCCTCTCATAAAGTGCTTTCTCTTTTAAAAGTTAGCTTGGTCATGGTGTCTTTTCACAGCAATAGAACAGTGACTAAGGATGAAGTTGGTATTAGAAGTGGGGTATTGCTGTGACGGGCCTGATCATGTTGTTTGGAGAAATATGAAAGACTTTGGACTAGAAAGAATATTGGGACTTTAGACTAGAAAAGGGGTTGAACTAAGCAGTACTTACTGGGCCATCCTAGTTGGAGCATGGAAGACAGTAGTGCTGAGGGTGATATGGCTGGCCTATAGGGACCTGGATCAAGAAGTTTCAGAGGGGAAGAATATTAGTAACTGGCCAATCACAAGACCATTCTTGTAATATTTTGGTAAAGAATGTGAGTGCTTTTCTGGCCTTGTTTTTTTTTTTTTTTTTTTTTTTTTTTTTTTTTTTTTTTGTGAGGCTGCATCAAGAGAGAGACAGTGTGAGGGGGGGGGGTGGGGGGGGGGGGGGGCGCGGGGGGTGGGAAGGAACACCAGAAAATACAATGTTGAAGACAAAAATTCCTGTGTTCATTGACATAAAAAGTTTAAAGAAAAGTTTAGTGCTAAATGGAATAAAGGGAATGGTGACCTTAGAGCAAGACCCTTCCACCTTGTGAAAAGGAATTAAAGGAAAGTTTAAACAGGCAAGAAAACAGTCAACAACAGAAAACTGGTGCAAATGTAATTGAAGCTCTCCCAGGTTCCAGCCCCAGCAGGCTGAAGAACTTGGCAGCTTTAGCCCTATGGTTTTGGCTTTGGTGTCAAGGAAAAGCAAGTTGAAAGGAATAGAAAGATCTAAAGAGTGCTTTGATATTAGACACGAAGATGCAGAGTTTGGAGTTTGTCCTGCTGGGGTTTGGTCTTGTTTTGGTCCAGTATTCCTTCACTATGCTCCCTCCCTTTATATTCTGTCCCATTGTATGTGGGAAGTATGTAATCTGCTTTTTGATTTTGATTTTGCAGAGAGTTACAGTTAAGACGTTGCCTTGAGTATCAGACGAGACTTTGGACTTTTAATGGTGTTGAGACTGTGGTATACTATGGGGACTTTAGAAGCTGGGCTGAATGCATTTTGCATCATGATATGGCTACAAATCTGTGTGTGTGTGGGGGGGCAAGGAGTAGAGTGTGGTGGTTTGAATTAGAATCTCCATTTATTTGAATGTTTGGTTTCTAGTTGGTGGATTAATGGAAAGGATTAGCAGGTATGGTCTTAGAGGAGGTGTATCATTGTTGGATGAGGCATGTCTCTTTCTCTACCTGTTGCCTGTGCATTAGTTCATAATGTCTTGTGGTCATTTCATCAGATTGTCATTATCAAAGTATTGATGTTTCATAAAACAAGTGGGGAAATGTTTCTCAACTATGCCTTTGTGTTACCAAACGATTGAATCAGTTTCCTAAATCTCTTTCTCTAGCACCATCTTGCCTGTGTGCTGCCATGCTCCTTCTCATGATGATAACTGTAAGCAGGCTCCCAATTAAATGCTTTGTTTTATAAGAGTTGCCTTGGTCATGGTGTCTTTTCACAGCCATAGAACAGTGACTAAGATAGCAACTTTGCATTCCTGAGAATAAGTTCTATGTCAAACATAATGTACCATTCCTTTTTATGCTGTAGTGTTCAGTATATTTGTGTGTTATTTATTTAGATTGTTTGTGTCTGTTTATGGCCATTGTATCCTTGGGCTTCCCCAAACCACCACACAAACCCACTGGAGTCTAGACTGGGGACAGCAGGAGATCAGAGTTGGGAATATCAATCAGAAAGTTGTCTCCAAGACCCCTTAGGAAATCTCATACAAGCAGTAGGCTGCATACACTACTGCAGAGGCCACTGTTTGCAGCCCTTGCCTTGCACACCAGTTCCCCATGAGGAAAAGAACTTGGTTGGCATAATTGTCTGCAAATACTCTTCTGTAGCATTTATATCCAATTGTTGATTGAGTCTCAAATCCTCCTCCCGTTTTGACTTAGGGCTGCATGGGCAGCAAGACACCAGTAAGGCCCTGAGGTGTTTACTGTTGATTCAAGGGAGACCCAAAGCAGACAGACCAGTAGTCCCATCCAGGAAGCAGTTGAATTCTTGGCTAAGCCTGAACTTCAGCTTGACAATCTAGTTGAGGATTTAGAGCCCCTGGTGCTCAGCCAGCATGCTATTAAGAATGACCTACAGATTAGTGTTGGCACTGGAACTGTGCCCAGTCCAGACTGGATAAGGCCAGTGACTTTCTATAAGCATTTGGAAACCTTTATAGCAGCCTTACAGCCATTTTCTGTTTATTAACTCTAATGATAGAAACCTAATTCTCAGTTTTGATATTTTTCTTTTAAAGTTCATTTTTCCTAGAAATTATTTTTTACTGTAGTTTATAAAAGCATTGTTCTGGGGTGGAGAGTAGAGTGCTTGCATAGCATACTAGCCAGTGTGAGGCCATAATAAGTTCAGCTCTTAGCACCACCACCACCACTACCACCACCACCACCACACGAAAAACAAACAAACAAAAAAAAACATGAAAAACAAAAAAACATTGGTTTGTGACAGGTTTAAAATTAAAACAGTGTGATCCTTTACTACAAATAGTTTGAGAGTACTAGTGTAAACCTGATTTCAAGTCTTTGATTTTTTCTTTGAGAAAGTTTTAAAATTTCTTTTTCTTTTTAAATTCATTTATTTTATGTGTATGAATGTTTTACCTCCATGTATGTCTGTGTACCAGGTTCATGTCTGGTACCAGCAGAGGTCAAAGAGGGTGTTGGACCCCCTGGAACTGGGGTTACAGATGGTTGTGAGCCACCATGTGGGTGCTAGGAACCTGGGTCCTCTTATAAGAATGTGTTCTCTTAACTGCTAAGTCAAGTCTACCCACTGAAAAAGCTTTTTGAAGAAGAAATTTTTGCAGCGTATAAAAGTAACTGATTCCTGTGGCTGGTTGATAAGGAGAAGTGCTTAAAGGGGAGACTTGCCAGCATATTCAGGAGGATAGTGGTAGGACATAGACCCTGTGAAAGACCATAGTTGTGTGCAGGAGGATATGGATTTCTTTTTCATGAGAGATATTCAGGGTGTTGGTATCCCCACTTTAGTTTTATCGGAGGGCCAGAAACAAATGCAGAACCACACAAATAAGGCAGAGGGGTCTGTCTGTTGGTAGACATGGACAGTGTAGCAGAAGGCCCTTTGGAACTCCTGTAACTGAGACCTCCCCTGGAGCTATCCATGAAAGTGTCCAAGAGGTCAGGATTTGAGAAGCCTGTATGGTAGCAGAGAGATGTAGGAATGCTACCATGAGGCTTTCGGGAAGGACTGCTGGTAGAATTGCCTCTTTGGCAGCTTATAGCACAAGTACAATTTTGTCAAGTGTTACCCTAAGACAGAATCACATTGTATCATGGAAAATGGCTTCTCCTGTTAATGCTGGAATAGAGCTGCTATTATTATTATTATTTTAGTTTTTTTAAAATCTGCCCCTTTAAAGTCAGTGCTGGGCTTGGCCATGAGGTTTGGGATACAGTGATGTATATTTGGAATGTCATTCTTTTGGCCTTGCTTTTCTTTGGCTTGTGATGTTTCCCATGGTACCTTTCCATTACTAATGGTTTCTCTCAACCAATTTTATTTTCTCAAAAATGGGATCTGCTGTATTATTCTGGCTGACCTTAAATTCCTGGGCTCAAATGATTCCCATTATCCTAAGCCGTTGGGACTATATGTGTGTACCACTAACACTACATGGCTTCTTTAACCACTTTGGGATACAATTTTATTTTTCTGCTGTTGAGAAGTAAGTGATACTAATCCTTACTTAGAAATCCTTAGTGGTCTAAAGTAGAGAGGAAAGAGAAAGCTGGAATGATCAGAAATGCACTTAGGAATTCAGGAGCCTTGCTAAACTCATTTATCAATTCTAGAACTTTCTTTGAGTTTTCCTGTATGTGGAGGTCAGAGATCAATTTTTCTTCCTTAGTCTCTTTCTACCTTACTTTTTTAGACTAGGTCCCATAGTGTTAAGAATGCTATCTGTTGGATAAAGAAGAAGTGGCAAAGTGAAAGTAACCCAGCAAAGCTGTTTCTTTTTGAAAAGGGGGTATGCTATGACTCAAACAAGGCTAGCAAGCACACACCAAAGCAGGAAGTTCACTTAGTTTTTATTTTACTGTATCTCACCATGTTGCTGGAAGTTTGACCTCATAATTTGATGCTGTTGAATAGCTCATAATCAGTGCAAAGGGGAAAGGTGTTATAGAGAGTCAAGTTTTAGGAATTCCTGGGGTTGAGCTAATAGACTTGTACACTAAGAATTTCACAAGGTGATGGGGTAGATTTACAGAATGTTGGCCTTTGGTAGGCCAGCTCCCTTTAATAGAAAAGAACTGTGTCTCACATCATTGAACCTGGAGCTTACTGAGTCCTAGGCTGTTTAGATGTCCCCCATTTCCACTCCACCCCTGGCTTTTTATGTAGATACTAGGGATTGAACTCAGGTTCTTAATTTGAGTGGCAGATATTTTACTAACTGAACTGTCTTCACAATTCCCATGCTGGTTTGCATTAAATGCATGGTACCCTTGTTCTCTTTGACCATGATGCATTCCTTAAAAATATTATTAGATGTGCCGGAGAGATGGCTCAGCAGTTAAGATCACTGGCTGCTCTTCCAGATGTCCTGAGTTCAAACCCCAGCAGCCACATGGTAGCTCACAACCATTTACAGTGGAATCTGGCGCCCTCTTCTGGTGTGTAGTTATACATGTAGGCAAAAAACGCTGCAAACCTAATAAATAAATCTTAAAAATGTTAATAGATAAATTTTTCTAATTACTCATTGTAACTCCTATTTTAGGAAAGATTGGCTTGTATTCTTTGTCAATTTTTGTCATGTTGTTTTTATTTGCTTGATATTTATTTGTTTATTTTTGATGCAGGGTCTCTCCAAGTATCCCTGACTTGTCCTGGAACTCTCTGTGTAGATGGCTGGCCTCAAACTCACAGATATATCTGCTTGTCTCTGCCTCAAAAGTGCCAGGATTAAAGATGTGTACCACCATGCCCTGTAGTATCTTTGTTTTTTGAGTCTCAGAAATATTTCAAGTGTTTATCTTTGTATTTTTGTAAGAATTTTTTGTACTTATTGGAAGAATTCAGATATCCCTTTGTGGGAAGAATTTTCATTGTAAATTTACTATTTCTTATAGAATTTATTCATTCAAGTTATTTGTTCACTTAGAGCTTTTGAAAAATGATTTATTTTTATTTTATGAGCATTTGTCTTTGTGGGGGTGTCATATCCCCTGGAACTGGAGTTATACAGTTGTGAACTGTCCTGTAGATGCTAGGAATTGAACCCAAGTCTTTAGGAAGAACAGTGAATGCTCTGAACCACTGAGCAATCTTTCCAGCCCCTGCTTGGTTTGTTTTTTTGTTTTGTTTTGTTTTGTTGGTTTTTTTCGAGACAGGGTTTCTCTGTAGTGTTTTGGAGCCTGTCCTGTAACTCACTCAGTAGACCAGGCTGGCCTCGAACTCAGAGATCCTCCTGCCTCTGCCCCCCAAGTGCTGGGATTAAAGGCATGTGACACCAACACCTGGCTCCCCACTTGGTTTTTTTAAAGTAATATTTTCATTAATCCTTTGAGAATTTTATACAATGTATTTTGATCATAATTACCCTCTTTCCCAACTCTTCCCAGATTTCCTCCACCTTCTACCCACCCAACTTGGTGCTTCATTGTCTTTCTCTTCCTTCCCCATAACACAGTGAGTCCAGTTTGTGTTGACCAAATAAAACATTCTTGGGTGTGAAGCTTTCCCTTGGAAACTGGTGAACTTACAGGGGTCACACCTAAAAGAAAATGGACTCTCCTTCCAGCAGCTATCACATGCTAATAGCTCCCCAGCTAGGGATAGGACTTTATGTCCCCTTTGTGATGGAATTTTGGTCTGGCTTCAGCATGTGTAGGTTTTGTTCATGTCGTCATAGTCTGTGTGAGTTCTTTATGTCAAAAGGAAATGTCTTTTCTATAAACACTATTTCCTTGGAGTTACAACGTTTGGTTTTTAGAATTGTTCTGCTCCTCTTCACCTTGATAACCTTGGAGCCTTTGGAGAAAGAGTATAAGATGGCCAATGTAGGGCTGAACATTCTGCAATTGCTTATTCTCTACACTTGACTGGTTTTGGTTTAAGATAGAATCTCACTCTTTTACCCAGGCTAGCCAGGAACTCTCTGTTTTGTCAAGGAATAATTCAAAGATCAAGGCAATTTTCATGCCCCAGTCACTGAATTTTGGGATTACAGGTTCTGTTATACATGGCTTCAATTTTTTATATTTGTTTTCTTGATTACCTTAAGTACTGCTTTGCAAAAAATTTTATATTCTATCTAAAATTTCAACTTCATTGGTATAAACAAGGCTTTCAATGTATTAATAGTTGCTGTCTTTTCTAATGGTCTGTGGTCTTCCCAGTTGTCTTCTTTCTTCATATTTCTAGTTTCTCTCTCCTCTTTTTCTCTTCATTTGCCTTCCTTGGAGGTATGCCAATTTTACTATTTATTGTAAATAAATACTTGATTTTTTTCCCCCCAGCTTTTAAATTTTGCTAGGCATATGGACTTAGATGACTGGTTTTTAGCCTTTTCTAACATACATATTTAATTAAGTGTGTAGACTTTACCCTAAGTACAGTCCTGCTTTCATATTGAGATTCAATATTTCACTCTTTTTTTTTTTTTAAGATTTATTTATTTATTATGTGTTCAGTGTTCTGCCTGCATGTTGCCTGCAGGCCAGAGGAGGGCACCAGATCTCATTACAGATGGTTGTAAGCCGCCATGTGGTTGCTGGGAATTGAACTCAGAGCCTTTGGAAGAAAAGCAGTGCTCCAAAGCACCGAACCATCTCTCCATC